GGGGAGCCGGGGCGCGTGTGGGCACCTGGAAGCGGCCGGGCAGCCCGCCGGCGGAGCCGTGGGGGACACACTGTGGCCGCAGAGCCACGGCCAAAAGCAGCCGCCTCGAAGTGTCTTTCCCCAGCCCAGCAGTAGCCGAGCCCACACGTCTGAGCACCACGCCGGCGTCTGGCCGGGGCCCGTGGACACGGCTGCTGCGTGCGCTGGCCCCAGGCCGGCCCGCCACGTGAGCCCGCGGGGTCTCCTCCCTCCCCGCCGTGTCCCCGCCAGCCAGCAGGCAGGCGGGTGGGCTTCCCTCGGGGGCCACCCGATGCCCACGTTTTGAGCTGTGCGCCCCCGACGCCCACATTTTGAGGTGTGCGAGGCCCCAGCAGGGCGGGAGAGGGGTGTCCCGGGTGCGGGCTCGCCCCAGTTTCGTTCTCTAGCTGTTAAGCTGGAGTGGGGCTAATCTGACGGCACACGGAGAATAACCCACTGCAGGGGCCCCCCGACCGTTCCTGCGTACTTGCAGCTTAATCTGAAGAGCAGATGCAGACTTTGCGGTTTTGTCTTGCCGTGGCCACGCGTGGTTTAGTGTTAGCGACTGAGTGGCGGTGCGTGTGGATTTCCTTTCCAGCACGTGAATGTGAAGTTTGGGTACTGACAGACTCCAGTGTGCAATAAATGCCCCGTCTCTGTCACCGAGGATGAGCCTCCGCCCCGCGCTGCTTCCTGCGCCCCGCAGGCGGCGTCCGGGACGGTCCCGGGCGGTTCTAGCCTCCTCCCCGGGGCTGCGCCAGGCCCCTGGCTGCCCCTGGCCGCCTCTCCGGCATCTGGGGCCCTGGCGAGGGGCCGCGGCCAGGAGAAGGCTCTCCTGCCCCTCCTGCTCGGTCTCACCAAGGGCCGCGTAAGCGCCAGGTTGCACGGGAGCTGGGAGGACGCCGGGCCCAGCAGGCCTCTCGGGCCTGGGAGGAGGCTCCGATGGCACAGGTGTTGCGTGATTTTCCGTTTCTGAGGCAGTTTCGTCCGTGTAGACTCTGTTGTGTTTATTCACTTGGTGCTTGATCGGTTTGCACTTTGGACACGTCCCGGGCCCCTGGCCGGGCCTGGCTCGGGCGGCGGCGCAGCCTGAGCCCAGTCTAGGTAGAGGAAGAGCTCTGCGCGCCTCTCCGGAGGCAGACGCGGGCGGGAACAGTCCTGCGGCTCGCGCCTCCAGCGCCCTTCCGCTGGCCCTGTGCTGAGATGGGAGCTGCTTTGCGTTTCGGCTCTCAGCTCACCGCACTCGGCTTCGCTGCCGCCCGCGGCCCGCGCTGAGGGCGGCCGCCCCGGCCCCGGCGGCAGGCTTCTCCCAGCCCGGCCTCGCTGTCCCTGGTCCTTTGCTTCCCACCCAAAGACGCCGCAGCTGCCCCCTCGTGGACGCCTCCCGCCGGCCCGCTCGGCTCCTACCTCCTCGGCTGAGTTTGGTCCGTTGACCTTCGCCAGTGACATTGCAGTAGCAGCCAGATTCGCCCCCGACTCCCCTTAAAGGCACTTTATGTCCCCCCCTTTCTTCCCTATCTAATTTGATTTTCACAAAACGTTGGAAAGATAATCATCAAGGGCTTCGCTTCTTTCTTAGAGCCGAGCTAGCTTGAGTCAGTCTCTGTGCCTGCAACAAAAAGAAAATAGAATGGGTTGAGTTCTCTGAGGAGTTTTGTTTTTCTACTGATACCGCTATATTTTTTTAAGGCAATGTCACTTTGCTTTGTTTACAAATATATTGAATATCTGTCAAGATTTACTATTTTGTTATTGCCCTTTGTGAATTTCCTTGCCTATTTTACCTGCTTGCTCTTTCGGATAAAATTTGTTATTTTATTAATGTTGCCAAAAATCATAAGTAGGATAGCAATTACAGGAATAAAACGTTTTTCTGAAAGCCGTCTCCGTGTATTACCTTTCTGCCTTACCTAATTCTTCCTAATTCTTTCACGGTAGCAGAGAAATCTCAAAGGGGAGGCCCCGGGGTGCTACAGAGTATTCTCCCTGCCTGATTTTGTGGGGGGTGGCATAGCAGAGCCAGGTGTGGGCCGGAGGTGGGCGCCGAGAGACAGCGGGGAGCAGAACAGGCCGATCTACTGAGAGCCACTGCTGAGGGGCAGCGGGAGCCAGGAGGGGCCTGGGGTGCCCTGGGGTCCCTCGGGCTGGACTGGGCCCCGAGGCCACCGGGGCCTTTTAACTGGCTGAATTAACCACCGTTGGTGGCCAGGGGGAGGGGGCATCACCCAGGCGGTGAACGGCTGGGGATTTGTGCCGCCCTCGGCCGGCATCGGGGCCCAGGAGCCTTCCCAGCCGCTGGCACAGGTCGGTCTCCGTCGACCCACGCCCGTCCCTTCAGGTGCCTCCTGGGCTGGGCGAGGAGGCCGGGCAGGTGGGGCATAAGCCACAGCGTGGGTGCTGTGGGTGCTGGGCGGGCGGTGCCCTTGCCACGCCCCCACTCCCCAGTCTCTCGAACTCGCCCTTCCTCCTGGCTTGCGGGGGCCTCTGCCCGCTCCTCTGGTTCCTCCAGAAGGCGCCGGGGCCGTGTGGGGGTTTCAGGCCTCCACAGCCCTGCTCGGAGCCAGCCCTGCCTGACCGGGCATTTTTCCACAAGAGCACGGGAAACTGGGTGTTTTATGGGGAACGTTACCCTCTCTGCTCTCTGCACACACGGCTCTCACTGACCCAGAACACCGGCCTCAGCTTCCCCCACCCAATAAAAACAAACAGTTCAGGGAGAAGGAACTAATTTTTCCGCAAACTGAGGCGGGCAGCAGACCCCTGCCTGAAAGACCGGCAGCCTGCTCTGGCAGGATGCAGGGTGTTTACCCAAAGGAGTCAAAAAACGGGGGCCCCGGGGCGGCGGCCAGGGCCAGCATGTCCCCCTGAGGCAAGCATAGAGACTCCCGGTGGGCACCAGCTGTTACAGCTGCTGTCTGGGCGGGGAGAGCCTGTGCTTGGGGCTCTGTGCCCTGTGGGTTTCTCTCATACTGAGATGCTGGCAGAAGCCATTGAACCGATGAGTTTGGGGGCCCAGAGCACCCCTCACTCTGCTGACAGTGCCGCTGTGTTCACATTTTGCCTTTCCACAAAACGGAATTCTCTGTTCTCGGTTCTAACGACCAAGGCTTTGCCATTAAAGGTAATAAACGCATCGGGTAGCCAAGTTCTGCCACCGGAATAACCGGGGTGCTTGGTTCCTCTGGGGGGCTGACGCGGCTGCAAAGCCCGTGCTCGGCACTCCCGGTTTCCGCCCCGCACCCCGGCATCCACAAGCTGCCTCCATCGCTGTGTGCTGATGAAAGGGGACACCCGCAGGGTTCTTTCTCAGAGAGCCCAAGCACCCCGCACTCCGAGCCTCCCCATCTGCACCCCAACAATTCCCGTTGCATTCCTCAGGTCAAGCTGGCAGAGCGGGTGTAGAGCTGGCCCACCCATTCAGAGGAGGCAGACACCCACCCCAGAAAACCCTCAGATAAGGAGGGTCTCAACGCGTGCGTGACCCTTTCCTGTAGGAGAAGCTCGCAAGGCTGGTGCGGACAGGAGCCCTGAAAATATCGCAGCTCGTGAGCCTGGACCACCCGGCTCAAGGCTGCGCCCCTCGCTGCTGACAGACTGCCGCAGCCCCTCAGGCTCCCCGGGCTCCACACAGCGGCACTGCAGAGACCAGTTCCTGGCCCCGCCTCCCCGCAGGCCCGGGGCGCCGGACGCGGAGGCGCCCTCACAGCCCTGGCGGCGGTCAGGGCCGCTCAGCTGCCCGAGAAGCGGTCAGGGGCCCTGGGGGAGAAGCGGTCAGGGGCCCTGGGGGCGCCTGCTGCTCCCCTGGCCGTTGCTTGGGGCGTCTGGCAGCTGTCGGCGCCC